CAGTTCAGGTGTAGTATCTTCCCTTTCTAGTTCCTGCTCTACCTCTATCCTTCTCCTCACTGCTCCTCCTGCTCCTTCAGCTGCTCCTCCTGCTAACCCTGAACCTCCATTTAGTGAAGAAAATCAAGAGTTAGATGCTAAACTGCTAGAATTTAAATCAATATGCATTTCAACCTGTTGTTTTATTTGTCTTTTCAACATGTTAAAATGAAACTTGTTCCACAGCAGCCCAGTGTCAAAGAATAAAATAGTAAAATTAGCTTTTAATGTGTGTCATCGGATCGCCAACTTGAAGAGGGAGGATTTGCCATCGAACTTCTGGCCAGAGAAAAAACCCGTAATATGTAGCCAACATTTGGAAGAAGAATGTTTTCAAGATGACTTGGATAATAGCGCGTTGTGACAAACACCAGATACAGCACTGGGACTTGATCAACAGCCGATACCGCACCGTGACAATGTCACTAACCAGTAGGTGGCAGTAGTGTTCTTTGACAAACATGGATGCCTCCAGTAAAGCACATTCACATGAAAATTACTCTGAATTAAAAACACTGATCATTTATTGAACAGGATGGAATCATTTTTAAAGAACTTTCAGAAGTTCTGATGTTACTTTTCCTTTAAAACAGGTTCAGCATCATGCAGTGAGAACCCAGCGCTGAATAAAGGTTTCATTTTCAGCAGAAGACGTCGCTAACATCAGTGACATCATGGATTCAGTCGATGGAAACTGACTGATGACGGGTGCTGATTAGAGCGGCCATTTCTACGGCACCAATAAGGAGGACATCATGCAGCATATCAATAAATGATTAAGATGAACCTAAGGATCTGCTAAAGTCCATTTATATTACAATTTTAAAGGGATTTAAAGAGGATGCTTGTGCAGCTGAATAGGAACATATATGAATGAAAGGTCAGAAAGAATTGGTTCAGTATTTGCATTGATTATTAATGCATCATATTATTTAAACAGCGACCGCTGAGATGAATGTTTAAAGAGCAGAATGACACAAAGCAGAGCATGTGGACGTAATTAATAATTTAACAAGTAACATTCATGATTTAAACAGCCTAAAGTTTTACTTAAACAACAAAATAAAATGGAAAAAAAAATATTCAACTGCTACTGCATCGATGCCAGTATCGGGGGGGGGGGGGGGGGGGGGGATCTAGCACTATAATGGTGGTATCGGTATCTGCCAGTACCAACCAATAGGGCACTGATACCATTTTGAGAGCCCAAAGTTTCTTCAACTATTGTCGCCCATTCCGGGTAGGCAATAAAAAGTTCTACTGATTCACTTTGTGTTAGTCTGTTTCCTGCTTCACTAAGGAAGGCAGCAGCTTGAAGCCATGATGGTGATTATTTTACATCCAGGTACTACGCAGTTCTTCATATAAACACACATCTAATCAAACGGATGGTATCGGTATGGGCTGATACTGCACAGCCAGGTATGGGGGTACCGCTATCTGTCATGGTTTAAGGTGTTTGGCCCACATGCAGACACAGTTGGAGAACAAGAGGCAGTTTAAGATCTTTATTTAGGCTGAACACAGATTGGCTGCAGGCGATGTGAGCTGCAGGTGAGGAACGTCAGAGTTAGGAGTACTGCAGGAGGAGAGAGGGAACTGATTAACATCAGTGAGTTAGGGAGATCTGCACTGATGCTGCTTTGCTTACCGCCAGGTACAGGTAACCTATCCAGAGAGGGTGAGTGGAAGGGGGGATTCTGTGACTCACTGCTTTCCAGTGGGAGGAGATGGCTAAGCGACAGGTGAGCTAACGGATGGAACATAGGCGGGAGGCCGAGCAGCACCACAGCGGAGACAGGTTCGAGGAGCAGCTGAAGGAACCAGAGGGAATCCAGGAAGGGGGTCTCTTGTTCGGCTCGGTATCACCGAGGGGCCTGGAGGGGAACGCCAGAGCAGAATCTGAGCAGCAGGGATCCAGGAACCAGTCCTCAGCGCAGGGAGACAGGCGGGTGAGAAATCCAAAGCACGACCAATTGAGAGAGACAGGAGAACAGAGAACTGGGAATCCAAAACATCAAACTCTCAGGAACGAAGACAGAGGCCTAGGCGGACCACCAGGGTCTAACACTCTGGCGTGCTTCAGCTGACTGGAAAACTTCTTTTAAGCTCCAGGTGCGGGGCCACGCCCACCTGCCAACAACAGCCACCTGTGGCAGAGAATCAGCAGAGCACATGACGCAGAATCCTCCAAAAAATGGCATTGGCGCCAAAAATGGCACCGGCGAAACACTGGAGACCAAGATCATCGTCCTACTGTCGGTTTCAGTCGAAGTTATTTTAGTTTATATCACCAATTAAACAATGAATACATTAATAACAAGCAGAAAAGCCGACATCAGTGGAAGTTAAAGCCATGTTACACTAAATGTGATGATTTAGTGAAAACAGCGACTGATGGAAGTCCTGCATCAGCCTGGAGGAAATGATTAGAAACATGGAGACATTTTCTCCTAAATCACCCGTTTATTAACAAACTGGTTTTCTTTTATGAGGCCCAACTTTCAAAGTGAGAGAATGTGCTTCTAGCTTAAATTAATCTATGGAATTAAAGGATTAAATATATTACAAATATAACCCAGCTTTAAAATAAAACAGCATGTAGATGAAGGTGTCATGTACAGCATGGCGGCACGCTAATGGTAACTTAATCCTGATGATGTCATCACTGATGGTTATCAAGTGTTTTTTTTATTTGGGTGGGAAAACTTTAATGAATTATATTGTGTTTATTAGAAAGTTAGGAAAGTTTTTTGTATCTGCTTCCTTAAAAAACACTTAGTTAAATGTTTATTATTTAATGATTATTATTTTTTGCTGTTGCTAATCTGTTGTTGGTTTGATAGAGATAAATAAAGCAGTTATTTCATGTTGGGAGTGTTTTGGATACAGAGGCTCAGCCAGAGTGATCTTAGTGGATTAGGGGCCCTGATGGTGGCGGGCCCCTGACTCCAGCCATACGCTGCCAAGACCCTGAGCTGGAGCGGAACACCTGGTCTCCATCCTTCCTCCCCCTCCTGCTGCTCTCTTTATCTAACCAGGTTTCCTGGCAGTGTGGTTAGAGAGACGTTGGTCCGCCTCAGTGTTTGTGTTCCCTCGGCTTCCTCTTGGTATTTAGCGCTTTGGTAGATCAGAGATGGTAGGAGCGCTGCCTCCCCTCCCCCACCTCAGCTACATGCCAGGCCGCCTGAGACTCTCTCTGCCTTGCAGTTCAATCCACTGACTTTCACAGGGGGGGGGGGGTGTTAGTATGAGTTACTGAGTTGTTATAAAAATTCTGCTGTTTTCCCAAGAGATCAAAGGTTTTTAATGTCAAAATTTGATATAACAATTCACATCATGTCACACATTCAACTGCTCAAAAACAACAGCTTGTCCTGTCTTCAGTGTCTGTCTTCCTGGTCGTCCCTTCAGCTGAGGATGAGTCCCTGAAAATCTCACTGTCCACTTTCACGCCGCAGTCCGCGCTTCTGTAGGACTGCTGATGGTTTATAGTCTGGTCCACTTTGCAGCTCTGCAGTTATTTTATCATCCAGGAAAAAAGTCTCATTGATGAGGAACCTGCGGCATGTTTACTACTTTTATGTTCCTCTGTCCTCTCCTCCCGTTAAACTGCAGCAACCACCGCTAACATCCCCATCGCATCGACGTCTGCAGAATCCATGGAATGGAAGGGGGTCTCTTGTCCGGCTCAGTATCACTGAGGGGGCTCGAACGCCAGAGCAGAATCTGAGCAGCAGGGATTCAGGAGATGATCCGGTAGGTAGGTTCTGTTCTTCTGGTTCTGATCAGCAGCTCTTCTCTGCATTAAAGGAAACATTAGTAGCCTAGAAATGTGCTGCAGATGCCCCATTTCCACAACCCTTTAGAAACCAGGACATTTCAGGCATTCCTTAAAATCCTAGATCCCAACGTGCCACAGGGTTTCCAGTGATGATTCTGCTGTGAGATGAACCTCATCGTCTGTCGTTGTTTCCTGCGTCTGGAAGCCCTGATTAGAATATCGTTGATTAGACGATCGTAGATCAAACTATCGTTTGTCGTATCCACTTCCCAACCCCCGACTCTGTCAAGGAAATTCACCAAAGGCTGCCTTCTTCGCCTGGGCTGCCTCGACTCTCTGCAAACTTCTTGAAAGTTACGGGCGCCGCCATGTTGGTTTGCTTGTTTCCCTCTAGAGAGGAATAATACCGTATATCGCCACTAGGAGGCGAGGAACCGGCTAGCATGGCGTGGAAAAGGTCGTCAGGAACTGAGCTCAGCATGGATCGGTTTCAGAGGGGAGTGGAAATGAATCTGTCTAATAACTCTACCGATTGGGAGCATGTATAGTAAAGAGAACTGGTCCGAGCACTGAGCCCTGTGGTACTCTTTGACAGATGAAGAGTTACAGGGATATACACTGTATCAGAGCAAATATCATGGTGTAAAATGTAGGCAAACTAATGGAAATTGCTGCTGTAATCTTATTGTTTTAACAAAGGATGTTAGTTTGTATGATCCTGGGTTTAAAGCTAAAGTAAAATCTGTGTGGCTGCACATTTGATGGTCCTCAGTGAACTCAGTGAACTTCTGCTTCTGCCCAGACACATGTAAACCAGAGGGAGCATTGCCAAAGAGTAGCTATCAAACATCCTGTGATCTCCTGTTTTCATTTGAAGCTTCTTTAAGGAGTCTTTCCTTTGGGAAATGTGTGAAAAACTCCATGCTGCCCAGGCCACAGCCTGCTGGCTTCAGTGGGAGCAAACTGCCATCTAATTATTTAGAGTCCAATGTTTGTTGTTGCTTTAAGGAGCAAAGTCCGGTCCTGGTGTTGAGTCCACAGAAAGAGGGACGTTTCAGAGCTGCACGCTGCGGACGTGCAGCTCTGAGCTGGATCAGCAGGTGAAGGTTTCTTTGCACAATGATTAAGAGGGAGAACCAATGGCAACAAAGGAGACAGAGGACAGTGGCTCCTCCCTCCCCCCCACAGTATATAATGGCTGAGTGACCCAGAAAGCAAACAAACTCCTCTGAACAGAGAGGAAAGGTTGTTTGGATTCCTAGCAGGGCTTCCTGTAGCCCGAGGATCAGCGGAAGCAGCGCCTGAAGAACAGATTCTCCTCCATCCATCAGGTAGGAGATCCGCTCCGTTCCTCTGCTTCTGATCAGCTGCTCTTCTCTGCATTAAAGGAAACATTAGTAGCCTAGAAACGCTGCTGCTGCTGCTGCTGCTGCTGGTGATGATGATGGTGATGATGATGCTGGTGATGATGATGATGATGCTTAGAAGACAATGAGCCCGTCGGCTGTTTTTCAGATTAAACAGGTCAGGCTGCTAGAAGCAGCAGCTGATTCGTTGTGTTAATAAGCCTCCATGGTTCCTGATCGTCCGCTAACAGCCTCACACACACACACACACATGTTCTGCCATCATAGTGAGGACCATGTGTTTACTACCTTTGACTTCCATTGATTTGCATTCATTTTCAACCCTTTCTCTGCCCTAACCATAAAAATAACCAAAACATTAGCAAAATAGCTAATGAGGAGCGGCCACAATGTCCTCACTCTGTAAAAATGTCCTCAGTACAAATGATAAACCCTTAAACTGGTCCTCACTCTTATTTTAAAACTGGCAGCACACACACATGTTGTCTTTCCATGTTCTATGGGGTCTGCTGTTTGACTTTAGTTATTTCTATGGCCTAAACTAGACCCTGACCCATAGACCTGCATCTGACTCCAAACCCCAGAAGAGAACTACTCCTAATGGGGACTGGTTGGATGCTCCCCATAAACTGGTTTCTAACACACGCTGCCTCTGCCTTGCTGTCATCACGGCTGTTTCAACAGTAACACATTCAACACAGACATTTTATTTAAAATGGCCTTTGAACATTAGTTAGTACTTTATCTGTGTGGTTTTATGGTTATTTTACTGTTTTGTTTTTACTACGTATGTTATTTTATTGTAATGTCTCGTTTTAACTATGTATGCTGTTTTTATTGTACGGTTTTGTTTTAACTATGAATTTTGTAGCACTTTGAGATTTTGTTGAAATGTAAAGTGCAATACAAATAAAATGTATTATTATTATTATTATTATTATTATTATTATTATTATTATTATTGTTATTATTATTCTGCTCACACACACGACTACATGGTTGTGTTTTACCTAGAATGTGGAGGAAGTATTTGTTTAAACTGGTTCCAAAATAGTAAAATTCTTTTCTTGGAGTTGGGGTTTGGGACCATTGCTACGTTCACACTTAAAGCAGCAGAGGCAGCAGGAGCAGCTAGTTTCCATGCAAAGTCAATGGTTGACATGCATCAAGGCGCAGCAAAACGTCCCGCAGCACACCTGAGCAGCGCATCGCGAGCTTCTGTGGCGTGGAACTGTAGCTGCTGGACGCGCCGCATCAACCAATGAGAGAAGCTGATCTGGGAGCTGGCAGGGAGTCAGACGCAGCATTGCTGATGCAGAGCGCTATGATCACTCCTCTGAAACAGTTTATTAACGCCTAAATTAACTTCAAATGTAGAAACCTGCCGGCAGAATATGTTGGCTTTTATTATCCTGCTGCCTGCAGTTTGTAGCACAGACCTGAAAAACGCTAACATCTACTTCCAGCCGCCACCAACAGGAGGGGAAAACCCCCAAGAGGCGAGCGGGCCTGAGGCAGCTGCTGCTGGGGATTCCCAGTGACAGCGCAGCGCCGGTATGTGGGGGTCTGAGCGGCTCCCACAGAGAAATAATCTTTGAAGGCAGGATGGTAATCTGGATGAACTGACTGCACAGACCATGTTTTCAGGAGGACTTTCTCACTTCAACATAGATTCTAACTACTTTCTACCCGCTGATCACAGCTAATATAGCCGCCATTGTTCCAGGCAGAGAAAGGATAGAGTAGCTCCGCCCACCACGCATCAGACCAGGTAGGTTAATCCTACCAGCGGGTTTAGGTTAAGCCTACCTGCAGGGTTAGGAGGAGGTTAGGGGATGACATCCTGTTTATGGATGGTTGCTGGTTTTATTTGCAGGGCAGTGAAGGATTCTGGGTAAAAGAAGTGAGGGAATTGAGCTGCATGTTTGATGGGGAACTCTGAGCTCCAGTCTTCTAATGCTGGTTTTCTTCTCATGTTTTTAGGAAGGAGGTGAGGACCATGGCTGAGCACATGATGATGCCCATGAGCTTCAGGATGGGGATGAACAGTCCTTCACAGAACAATGGGCAGCCGGGCCTGCGGGGGCTGCAGAATGGCCCCCTGTCTCACTACAGTAGGAACCCCCAGCACAACAATGAGGCTGTGATGAGACAGAGGCCAAACGTTATGGGACAGGGGGGCCTGGGGGCCCCTGGAAGTGGCATTGCCATGGCACACCATCAGCACCAGATGTTGTATACCAGCCAGGGTCCTCAGCAGCAACACCACCACCTGCAGTCCCAGCAGCAGCAGCAGCAGGGTGGACCCCCCCAGCATTACCTTCCCAGCAGCCTCACATCCCAGCAGCTCATGGCCAGCCTGCATCTACAGAAACTTAACACCCAGTACCACGGACACCCACTGGGATCCCCCAGTGGCCACCACCTGCCCAATGGAGCTCAGTACCGCATGGGCTCAGCACAGCTGGCAGGCATGCAGCACATCGGTGGCCATTTTGGACTAAATGGAATGGACATGGATCTAATCGATGAGGAGGTTCTGACTTCGCTGGTGTTGGAACTGGGCTTGGATCGTGTTCAGGAGCTGCCGGAGCTCTTCCTGGGACAGAATGAGTTTGACTTCATGTCTGACTTTGTGTGCAAGCAGCAGTCCAGCTCAGTGATCTGTTGAGGTGGTTTGTTTAAACCCCAAAGAGCACAGAATAGCAGACAATCTCTGCTTGGATGTTTCTGTACAGGTCCGTGACACGCCAACCTTTGAACTGAGCTCCCCATGAGCTAAACAGGGGGCAGGTTTCTCCCTCCCTGGAGCTGGTAATGAGAAAATATGTCTCTTTAGGCCTAAATGAAGCTTCCAGATCACCAGGCCCAGTATGTTAGCGCGGGTCTACCTTCCATCGTACCAGCTCATTTTACTGAATGAGGACATTTTCCTTTCCTTTTTTAATTGGATTTTGGAAGCTGGCTCTTCAAAAATCCAGAATCAAAGCATAAAGCAGTGGAGAGAGTGGGATCAAATCTCTACAGAATGTCTTTGGGTTCAAACTGAACAGTTTGGAGTTTGATCTGGAATTAATTCTGATGAAATAAAGGATGCAATGATATTGAACCTGATCAGCTGTGACCTTTACCCCCAGCCTCTCCAAAGCCCAGAAGGCCTTGTTTTCTCATCAGTTCACTTTATTTCTACAGTCTGTCCCATCACTTTGTCTGTTTGTGCCAGCAGTCTATGAAGTTAGACTGAATTAATGATCTGGATCAGTCCACTTAGAGGGAAGAAGAAACATCAGCGTTTCATTTATTCTGAGAGAGTCAGACCCTCAGCAGATAACAGGAAGGCTGGATGGAGTAGAGAAAACATTCATCATCTGTCAGCAATGCTCTGATTAAACTGCTCTTTCCTTCAGCCAATTAAATCAATTTGTCATTTCATAAATAATAACATTAATGGCATCGTGCTGACCGAGGAAATATTTAGATAACTTCAGAAATATTTAGTACTGAAGAGAATGAAGGGGCTTCAGCTCCTGGATGTGGGATGGTGATCAGAGTATCTTTCAGTTAAATGGATCTAATGTGATGCACTGAGTCTCTGTACTGAGTCTCTGCACTGAGTCTCTGCACTGAGTCTCTGATTGACTCTCTGCACTGAGTCTCTGTACTGAGTCTCTGACTGACTCTCTGCACTGAGTCTCTGTACTGAGTCTCTGTACTGAGTCTCTGCACTGAGTCTCTGCACTGAGTCTCTGTACTGAGTCTCTGTACTGATTCTCTGTACTGAGTCTCTGTACTGAGTCTTTGCACTGAGTCTCTGCACTGAGTCTCTGCACTGAGTCTCTGCACTGAGTCTCTGTACTGAGTCTCTGTACTGAGTCTCTGCACTGAGTCTCTGCACTGAGTCTCTGCACACTGAGTCTCTGCACTGAGTCTCCATACTGAGTCTCTGCACTGAGTCTCTGCACTGTGTCTCTGCACTGTGTCTCTGCACTGAGTCTCTGCACTGAGTCTCTGTACTGAGTCTCTGTACTGAGTCTCTGCACTGAGTCTCTGCACTGAGTCTCTGCACTGAGTCTCTGTACTGAGTCTCTGTACTGAGTCTCTGCACTGAGTCTCTGACTGACTCTCTGCACTGAGTCTATGCACTGAGTCTCTGCACTGAGTCTCTGCACTGAGTCTCTGTACTGAGTCTCTGCACTGAGTCTCTGTACTGAGTCTATGCACTGAGTCTCTGTACTGAGTCTATGCACTGAGTCTCTGCACTGAGTCTCTGCACTGAGTCTCTGTACTGAGTCTCTGTACTGAGTCTCTGCACTGAGTCTCTGCACTGAGTCTCTGTACTGAGTCTCTGTACTGATTCTCTGTACTGAGTCTCTGTACTGAGTCTCTGTACTGAGTCTCTGCACTGAGTCTCTGTACTGAGTCTCTGTACTGAGTCTCTGTACTGATTCTCTGTACTGAGTCTCTGTACTGATTCTCTGTACTGAGTCTCTGCACTGAGTCTCTGTACTGAGTCTCTGTACTGAGTCTCTGCACTGACTCTCTGCACTGAGTCTCTGTACTGAGTCTCTGTACTGAGTCTCTGCACTGAGTCTCTGCACTGAGTCTCTGTACTGAGTCTCTGTACTGATTCTCTGTACTGAGTCTCTGTACTGAGTCTTTGCACTGAGTCTCTGCACTGAGTCTCTGCACTGAGTCTCTGCACTGAGTCTCTGTACTGAGTCTCTGTACTGACTCTCTGCACTGAGTCTCTGTACTGAGTCTTTGCACTGAGTCTCTGCACTGAGTCTCTGCACTGAGTCTCTGCACTGAGTCTCTGCACTGAGTCTCTGCACTGAGTCTCTGTACTGAGTCTCTGCACTGAGTCTCTGCACTGAGTCTCTGCACACTGAGTCTCTGCACTGAGTCTCCATACTGAGTCTCTGCACTGAGTCTCTGCACTGTGTCTCTGCACTGTGTCTCTGCACTGAGTCTCTGCACTGAGTCTCTGTACTGAGTCTCTGTACTGAGTCTCTGCACTGAGTCTCTGCACTGAGTCTCTGCACTGAGTCTCTGTACTGAGTCTCTGTACTGAGTCTCTGCACTGAGTCTCTGCACTGAGTCTCTGACTGACTCTCTGCACTGAGTCTATGCACTGAGTCTCTGCACTGAGTCTCTGATTGAGTCTCTGACTGAGTCTCTGCACTGAGTCTCTGATTGAGTCTCTGTACTGAGTCTCTGCACTGAGTCTCTGCACTGAGTCTCTGTACTGAGTCTCTGTACTGAGTCTCTGCACCGAGTCTCTGCACTGAGTCTCTGTACTGAGTCTCTGTACTGAGTCTCTGCACTGAGTCTCTGCACTGAGTCTCTGCACTGAGTCTCTGTACTGAGTCTCTGCACTGAGTCTCTGCACTGAGTCTCTGACTGACTCTCTGCACTGAGTCTATGCACTGAGTCTCTGCACTGAGTCTCTGCACTGAGTCTCTGATTGAGTCTCTGACTGAGTCTCTGCACTGAGTCTCTGACTGACTCTCTGCACTGAGTCTATGCACTGAGTCTCTGATTGAGTCTCTGACTGAGTCTCTGCACTGAGTCTCTGATTGAGTCTCTGACTGAGTCTCTGCACTGAGTCTCTGATTGAGTCTCTGTACTGAGTGTATGACTGAGTCTCTGCACTGATTCCCTGACTGAGTCTCTGCACTGAGTCTCTGACTGAGTCTCTGATTGAGTCTCTACGGACTTCAGTCTGTGCATCAAACCATGGATCCATCACCCACTCGGCTGAAGCCATTTTTCCTCTAAACTCACGTTCCTTGTGGTTCTCCTGTTCCCTCTAGAGCCGCTGACTCTCCTGCTGATCAGTTTGGAGGGATGGTTTCTTAATGGAGGCCATGCTGATTGGAGGACATTCTTTGGTGTTTTTCTCTCCATCTGTGAAAACTTCCTGCATTCGCTATGCTGTTTGTGAAGCTGTGGAAGACGAGCAGCTCCACATGCAGACTCTCCATGAATCGGTCCCTAACAGCCTGTCTGTGGGGGTCTAATTTACAGCTCAGCTCAGAGACCACCTCACATTCTGACCTAAACCCAGCAGGGGCCAGATTGCTGCCGGCTGGATCCTGTCTCGGTACTTTAGACCACATGCTGTCAGTACTTGGTAGGCCTTCGTCTCCTTAGGGGACCCTCGTTCCTGGGGGGCGGGGCCTAAACCTTTCCACCATGTTGAACACAGGTAGGGGTTTGGGGGGATTTCCAACCAGGCTGTTCAGCATGGTCAAAAGCTGCCTGATGATGGTAGATTAAAGTGAGATTGTACTCCTTGTATTAAAGCACCCCCCCCCTCCCAAACCACCTTTGTAACGTCATTGATTCTATTTTAAGAAAATGTATTTATTTTGAAATAAAATATTTATTTAAAGACCTTTTTATTGCTTCTTGTCTCAAATAATGTCAGACTTGGTCCACAGACCAAGGACAGAAAACGGTCCCACCCTGGACACCATTGACCATGAGAACAGACGTCCCCTCCTGCAGAAAAGAGTCACCACCCAGAAAGCATTATGTAAACAACCGCCGTTACAGATCCTGGATCCCTTCCAAGCTGGTTTCCTCTAAACCTGAAATCAGAGAAAATCTGAGTTTTCCATTTCCCAAATAGAGTTTCCTCATCCTGGTTCTGTTGCCATAGTAACATCCTTCCAGAGCTAACCTGGTCAGCAGCAGGTTTTCTTCAGTCTGCCTCCCCTCTCCTTACAGCCAATCACGCTGCTTTATTTCCTGATTTAGCCAGATTATTGTCGTAGTTTTCAGTATAAAAAAGAATAAATCATTCACTAGGCCCGTTAGACACATTGTGGTTAAAAACAAACATTTCACGCCCTTTTGATGAGGATCTTATTAAAGATCGGCATTAATTCACAGAGAATTAAATATTTATAGGGAGAGGATTCTACAACTCAGTGACAGGAGAGGAGATTACTGGTTTTAGGTTTGTTTAAAATGAGCGAAATGCAGAGAATTAATTTTTATTTATTTATTTACAGTACATGAAGAACTACTGAAATTACTTTTAGATTATACATAAATAGATTTATTATTGCTGTGGAGAAAAAAAGGAGTTAGGATTAGGATTGACTCAATGATAACAATTTACTGAGCCTACTGGCCCAATCTGAAGCCGTTCTATGGGACTGATAGCCGCTAATAACGACCATTTATTGGGACGATAACATCTGAAGCGCAGCAGCAAACAGACACGTAGTATTTAGTCTGTAAAAGAGACTGAATCAGCCTGAGGAGGAACCCATGAGATGATGAACAGGTTCTATAGATTAGAACGTTTTTATTCTTCATCTTCACCTGCTGTCAGAAGATTTCACCTAAATAGATCCATTGATCTACGACCATTCTAGAAATAATCCCCTAATATTTTCACAGTAACATCAGACTATGGCAAGCCATTTTTATATCAACTAGTTTTACTGAATATGTATTCCTGAAGTCTGAAAAAACAATTTTTCTTTGTCTAAATAACCATTTCAAACTAAATTACTTTCTCCACATCTAGAATAAACATTCTGGATGTCTAGAAAAAATAATCTCAGATCTCCATATTGCTATCATTAGTGGTCAGTGTTGGTATTATTGTGACTATGAAGAAATAGATTTCAGATATCATAAATATATTTTTAGTCAAGCTGATGACCTGGAGGAGAAGAACACTGTTAGAGTGATAATTATAAAATTATTGTGTGGACATATGAAACATTGAAAGAAAGAGGATGTTACATTTCTATGCTGTGAATCAACCAGAAGGGTCACAAACCTTTATGACCTCCAGTCAGAATCACACGGTTGCGTGACTTCTATCCAGCCAGTTGGTCAATTCACACCATCTTGTTACCTGCATCCTCTCAGACAATGATTATTGGGTCTGCTGTTTTAGGCCCGCCTGTTTGATGTTGTAAACTGTTAATAAAAGGCTTTGCTATGAAGGGATCTGTGTGAGAAGGTGCTGGTTTTTTCCAAGCCAGCATCTTCTCTCCACCCGGCACACGCTGACGTCACAAAACCCTGTCTCTGTGTTGATCATTTCCTTTTAATCTTTTAAACTCACATTTTTCTGGATTAAAACCCAACATTTTTGGTGCCTGAAACCCGGGAGTCAAGATCCAATTGTCCAGGACCGTGCGAGACCAAGGCCAAGAAACTGTCGACAGCCGTCCACCCTTTGCCAGACGGAGCCAATAGGTTGGTCCAGCCCTGCCCTGGACATCCTGGTGACGACTCAAGCTGAGGACTGATCTGCACAGAAACGGTACGCCTAAAGTTTTTTATCAACAGTTGGTCTGGGACCACGTGAAAGCTATAACTGGTTGTAGTCGCTAGAATATTTGACAAACAGGGTTTGTTGTGATAGATCTGGGATCTGGGTATTCTGTGCGTTTGGGTCTGGGACCCTCTGTGTGAAAGCTATAACTAGTTGTAGTTGCAAGAATATTTGACGAAACCAAGTTTTGTTTACAGGTCTGGGACCTGGGTATTCTGCGCATTTTGGGTCTGGGACCCTCTGTGTGAAAGCTATAACTAGTTGTAGTTGCAAGAATATTTGACGAAACCAAGTTTTGTTTACAGATCTGGGATCTGGATATTCTGTGCATTCGAGTCTGGGACTCTGTGTTGTAAAAAAATAAAAAAATATTAGGCCTTAGAATAGGTGTGTG